TTAATATAATCTTAATTAATATTTTCAATTATTTAATTATTAATTAATTAATAGATTGGCGCTGATTTTTGATACTAAGGCAGTGCCGATAGAAAACAGCAGCTTTTTCGCACTGCGGCAGTGCCGATAGCTTCAGCCGTAATAACAGTACAATGAATATCCACATAATTGTTGAATGCAGGGAAGGGACCTATCTCTAGTAATACATTAAAAATACAAATTATAATTCGGGACAAATAATTACCGTATCTTTACATGATATGACCGTCATGTGTACATCTTGAACTCAAGCGGTAAAGTACCTCCCGATTCAAGGAATGACGCCGGGACCGTATTGATAATAATTAATAATAGCTATGATGCATTTTCATTTGAAACATCTTACTTGAATCTATTATACTGTGTATGATTATGGTGATCAGGCATACAGATTTCAAGAAAAACACAAAACAGCGTGGTGATTAATCCTGGTGTGAATAATCCTGGTGCTTTCTAAGACGGAGTCGACGTTAAGGTAAATAAAACTCGGGGAAAAAACTGTTCCAACAGCATGTTTGCATACATTTTTATATCATTTGAAACATCTTACTTGAATCTATTATACTGTGTATGATGATGGTGATCAGGCATACAGGTTTTAAAGAAAAATACAAAAACAGCGTGGTGTCCATGTGCATTTTTGCATACGTATTTGTGACGTAGTTTTATATACTTATTAAAACATTGATACAAACCAAACTTTTCAGTTATTTCATTTGAAACCAGTGTCAGTATAATCTTAGGTAAGTATGTGGTTAACATAAGCAAGAATTTAGTCCAATGAAACTGTTTATCATCTTGGTACCTTCCGACGAAAATTGACCCTACCGGCGTCACCCCCACCGTAACGTGACGTTGTTATGTGGGTGTTTTATAGATTATTGAGAATGGTAATATCACCGAAAAAATAGATAAAATGACAGTTGAATGACCAACAAAGACAACTGAAGACAATAGTTCGTCATTAGAAGTTATTTAGTATAACTTTATTATAAAATTAATCTCAATATCGAGTTGCCATCCCCGGCGTTGTCAGTGACGTCGTATAATTTGTGTGCGATTTTTACCAATTAACCCCTAAGTAACAAATAGTTGAGCCATTGAGTACCTTGCAAATTAACCCAGAAACCCTGTAGTTTGTTGATTGTTTATTGGTAGCGTCCCTTCGCTGCCAAATAGTTTTAACAGTAAATAATCGAGCAAAGTGCGCTCCCAAAATGATTATGGGTACCGAACAAAGATCTTATACCAAACAACCTACCGTATACCGTAATTATAAATTGATGTCTATGGTGGTATTCAATAAAAATGAGTGACTCGGTCACCGTAAACATGAATAAATAATAGCAATTAATGAAGACAAATGGCAAAGTAAGTTACTTAAACACTAACAAGCAATTTACAGTGTAGCCATATGATATTAAAGCTACTAAATGGGAACAAGTTAGTGCTACTGGTGTTATAAACATTGAAATGTCTGTTTGGAAAAGTCACAGGTGTATGATATACTGTACAGCCCATAGGAAGCAATTTGGAAGTGCGGGGGTGGGGAGGAAATAAGCAGTCCTAGCCACGAATAATTGATGAATTTTGGTGAATGTTTATTAGTTATTTGATTAACCTCCCGTAATATGACTTTATGTATGTTTTGTAATATTGTAAAAAAAAAAAAAAAAAAAAAAAAAAAAAAAAAAAAAAAAAAAAAAAAAACCGAGAAACAAAGAGTATGCAATGTATAGAGGAGATTTCCCGTCGATGAACACACGAACGGTACTGGGTAAAGCCAACTTGATTTTTCGCTTTGAACAAGGAATCTATTCATAGAAGTCATATGAAGATAAGCCTATCTGAGAGTGACTCTAGGGTGGTTGAGACCAGGATGTATATCTCCGACTTTAAATTGAACAAAGATTGAGTTCAACAAGTATACACAGACCATAGCCCATAAACGTAAACAATTATATTTAAAAACCTAATAAATGTATGTGTAAGTAATCTTTTGTAATTATGAATAAAATATGGTATGTGAAAGAATAAAGAAGGAAGAATAGGAAAGATACTCGGAACGGCTGACACCGAAAATATACAATAATAATCAGTATGTCATTATTGCATTACGGTTTTGTAAAAATTTGAAGGCACTAATCGTCATCTATTCGTAGAAGCCTTATGAAGAAAGCCTACCTAAATGGCCTAGACTGGCACGAGACCATACTCCGGCTTTGAATATAGGAAGATTGAAACGTACTAATAGAGTATACAATAGAGAATACAATTGAAAATTTATGTTAAGTATATGTAAGTAGTATTAATAATTTAGGTTAAAATTTCTGACACGAATAAATTTCGATTTCTTTCTTCAAAAGGTATACAATTACACTTAAAATGTTAGCAAATGCTTTAATTTTTCCTATTTTTGATTATTGTTGTTGTGTCTGGTCTCATTGTAATGTTAAAAATTGTAACTGTTTACAAGTTCTTATGAATATTAAGTAGGATTTTACTATCTGTTGATATTGAGACTCCAGTTGATTATATTTTAAGTGTCTGTGGATGAAATGCCCTTGGGTGGAGTAGACTACATGTGATTTGGAATGAAAATTACTTCTTAAGACTTTCAAATACTCGAAAGGATATGCTCCTCAATATTTGTCTTCAAATTTACCTTTAACAATACCGTACTACCCATTCTGAAGGCACACGTAGCCAACCCATAACAACGTGGTTCTTCCAATGTATAATATCGGACAGGGAAAAAGAAAATTTTTATATCGTTCATCCAAAAGTTGTAATGAACTACCACACAAATTAAAAATTAATTTCTAATTTCAAAATCATTTAAAACAATGCTTTAAATTTTCATTTAATTCATTGTTTATTACATATTTACACTGTATATGTTTCTCGTCACTGCGCTGCCTGGCAAAAAATAAAATTGTATTTTCATTAAAAATTACGATTTTTGGCAGTTGGAGAGTGTACTAATGTAACCGGTTGTTACTGTCCAGGTTCAGGATTCTCTGCAGGCCTGTACGCAGGGGGGAGGGGTGTGCGGCGGGTGCGTACGCTCCCCCCCCCACACAAAAATTACAAAAGGTCCACATTTCCCAGCGTAGAAAATTAAAGACAAACTATCACATGCTCCAAAAATCCATCCACCAAAAATGCTTGACCAATCAGAGCAGTTTCCAACTAGGACTGCCTCTACTTTGTCGTACAAGCAAGGCCTTCTAATTGTACTTTACTTATCAATCCAATCAGAACATTTGTAAAGCTTATAAGCTTTTTGAGTAATTTTAGAGTTTTTCCCAGCCGTTGCGTGTCAATAACTCATCTTCTCTCTCTATATATGTTTCACTAGAATTATCTTTATTCTGGTTTAAGTCTGCGAGTTTTTCCCAGCCGTTGCGTGTCAATAACTCATCTTCTCTCTCTATATAGGTTTCACTAGAATTATCTTTATTCTCGTTTAAGTCTGCGAGTGCCCATTTCCTGCCATTTAAAGGTGCCATAATCATAAATTTCCTTTTCCTCAACCCCAACCACAATGGGGTCGGCTGAGGTGGGTGGACCCTGGCCAATATTTCTGTGAACGTCCCTCCCTGGACCCCTCTATTTCGAATTCCTGAATCCTCCGCCCCATACAGTATGTTAAAGTCCCTATCTGGCCCGGAGAGTGTGGACGTATTCGCTTAAAAACAACAAAGTGATTTATTGCTTTCCCTACCCTGTTCCCAATCAGATCAGTATAGGCTTATTTTATGAATTCTCGATTTTTTATATTTTTGACATCTACCCATCTCATCCACGACGTAAAGCGCTTTATATGATTTGTTCATATTCGCAATTTCCATTAATTTCGTTTATTTATAATATAACATTTACATTTGTGGTAAAAATTTAGTATTCTCAATACCCAATGATATTATAGGTTTTTTCAGTGTGCGCTGGACCTACATTCATTTCTTTTCTTTAAATTTATTAACGTTTTATTTACCTTGCTCTATAATTTTGCATACCGTAGACTATTGACCTATGCAGTGAAAATACGAAACACAACATGGTTGGAAGTGGCACGTTTCACATCTAGGCTATGTGACGTGTATGTCCAATTTGTAGGAATTTATTTTACTCCGACCTCGATTTATTTACATTTCTTAAAATTTTAATCATATTAATGAACGTTAACCCATAGTATAATTAATGACATTTCCACAGTGTTTTTAATTAGATTGATTTAATTTTGTATAGATCAGTTTCCTTAACATATCAAAGTTGATATTCATCGTTAGGCCATCAACATTTTAGATAGACCAGAGAACATTTGAAAATAAGAACACTGAATAGTGTTGCTCTCAAAACCAGTGGCGGATTGTTTTTAGCGCACCACCCCCCACCCACCCCACCAAGATTTTGGTCCACTTTCCACAAATTCGCACCCACCCAATAAAAATCCTACGTACGGGCCTGCTGTGGTGATGTTCACACAATGAATGCACTTAGACATTCTTGTCAGTTTTCGAGTATTTTATTCAACTGTGGAACGATAAATGAAAGAGCATACAGTAATTTAACTGTCAAAATTATTATTATTATTATATAGCAGGCCGGACAATTACATTTCCCTGATGATAGCTAGAGTACTATGTACTGCAATAATTACTTTGCATTGTGTCTGTAAATCATCTAGTCTTTGCAGAGTGTATAACCACAACAAATAACCTATAAATAAATTATTCCATTAACATTATTAAGAAACAAGAGTAAAGTTGAAAACGACCTTACCTGTAAATCAATAGGCACATTCACATAAGTTTTTATGATAAAGTTATCATGATCTATACTTCATAAGTTTAGCATGTTCTATTAAATACTAATGATTTGCAGAGTTGCATGAAAACTACCAGAAGCAAAACCAGTGAGGTTGTCTCAAATATCAGAATGCTAATTGGTTGAATTCGATCTCATGAATTAATTTATCATTTTATCAAGGTTAATCATGATGAATCATGATGCTCCACTAGGTGATTAAGCTGAGCACAGATTCTTGTAAGTTCACATAAAATGACGGACTGGCTTGAACATGATAAACTCTGAATGTGAACCTAGCTATTATGAGAGAGAGTGAAGTTTCTCAGTGACACGACAAGCTATACAGTACTTTATCTAACAATTTTACAAAGTCCATTTTCTTGAGGTTTCTTTGCACATCATAATAAATATAAAATCAAACTGAAAACGGAACATTAATACGGTAATCATTATCCAATGTGTATCCAATACAAATATTCCTTTACATGTATAAAAAATGGTTTAAGTCTAATTAAATCGATTTACCAGCCAAGTTTTCAAACACAGATAAACATGATACTTGGGGTGCGTTCGGGCGAGTTTTTTGTGGAGTCTAACACAGGAAAAATCTGGAAACGTCCATTTCCAGTTGTCGCCCGAACGGGAATGCGGACCACCTGATGATATCCACTGATAATAATACTCTGCAAATTGCAGTGTTTTTGGAGAAGCAAAAGTGGCATGTGTTGGCAGCAGGGAGCATTTTATATTATTTAATCCCCTTTGATTGTGCAAGAACTAAAGTCTGTTAAAATGTTCATGGTCCCTGCTTCTTAATATTTCCAAAAACAAAACTGAAAAGCTCAATAAAATAAATGATATCAACGGAGGGCTAGCCTACAATCCAGATTGTTACCCTACTACATACGTACGCCGAAAGCATACATGATTGTGGTACCACTGCTTATTCGTTTAATCTGTTTTATTAATACTTCAATTGCCAAACGAATGAAAGTTTATTCTGGGTTTATACGCCTAAAATGCACATCTTCGATTTATTAGGAGTTTTCAATGTAGGCCCTATGCTTTATGAAGCTTATTGTTGAATACATTCTAAAATAAATGCCTACGGAGAATACTAAAGGTTCGATGGCCCAACAAGATAAGCAATGTAGAACTATGAAATTAGGATAGAGGTCAGAAAGAGGAGGTGGCAGTGGATTGGTCATGAAATTAGAAGACCAGCAAATAACAGCAGCAAAGTGGCAATGACACGGCAACCAGAAGGGAAAAGGAAAAGAGGAAGACCAAAGACAACATGGAGGAAAACAGCGGAGCAGGAAAGGACAGCAATTAGGTGGAGATTTTGGAAAGCGGCTGATGAAACAGCAAGAGACCGGGATAAATGGAAAGATTATGTTATGGCCTTACTGTATGTGCCTCATGGCAGGAAGAGGAGAGTGAGGCGAGATGAGGTATCCTCAAATGGCTTGTTAAACTACTACTTTGGTTAAACCTCTTTCCACAATATTCACATTCGTATGGTTTTTCTCCTGTGTGTATCCTTAAATGGTGGTTCAAATGATCACTTCGATAAAACTTCTTCCCACAGTGTTCACATTCATATGACTTTTCTCCCGTGTGTACCCTCAAATGGCTTTTTAAATTGAAACTTTGATAAAACTTCTTTCCACAATGTTCACATTCATATAGTTTTTCGCCTGTGTGTGTTTTCAAATGTGTTTTTAAACTACTACTGTGATTAAACTTTTTTCCACAATGTTCACAGTCATAAGGCATCTCTCTTGTATGTACCCTCAAATGCCCTTTCAAATCACCGTTACACTTAAATGTCTTTCCACAATGTTCACATTCATAGGGCCTTTCTCCTGTATGTATTCTCAAATGTGTTTTTAAACTACCACCGTGATTAAACTTCCTTCCACAATGTTCACATTCATAAGGTCTTTCTCCTGTATGTATTCTCAAATGTGTTTTTAAACTACCACCATGATTAAACTTCTTTCCACAAAGTTCACATTCATAAGGTCTTTCTCCTGTGTGTATCCTTAAATGAGTTTTTAAACTACTACTGTGATTAAAATTCTTTCCACAATGTTCACAGTCATGTGACTCTCCTGTATGTACCCTCAAATGCCCTTTCAAAACATTGTTACACTTAAATGTCTTCCCACAGTGTTCGCATTCATAGGGTCTTTCTCCTGTATGTATTCTCAAATGTGTTTTCAAGCTACCACTTTGATTGAACTTCTTTCCACAATGTTCACATTCATGTGGTTTTTCTCCAGTGTGTATCCTCAAATGTCTTTTTAAATTACCACTGTTACCGAATTTCTTTTCACAATGTTCACATGCATGTATTGTTTCTTGTGTGTGTGTCATCAAATGCAGTTTTAAAATAGTATTGGTATTAAATGTTTTCCCACAATGTTGGCATTGAAACGGCAACTGTCTTGTGTGCATATTTAAACGCCTATTTAATCTACCAGAATGATTTGATTTTGTTCCACAATGCTCAAATGTATATGGTGTGTCTGATGCTTGTGGAACATTTTTGAAATTGCCACTTTCTTCAAACATTTTTTCACAACTTTCACTTTCACATGTTGTCTTTTCAGTGTATTTTCCTAAATCATCATTATTGTTGTTTCCACAATCGCCATATTCATATGGCGTTGTTTCTCCAATGTGTTTCATCAAATGTGCTTCCAATTCACTTCTGCTGTCAAACTTCTTTACACAATAATCACATTCAAATTGCTTCTCCTCTATTTTAATTCCCAAATGAGTAGTCAATGCAGCTAAATTGAAATTCTTTCCGCAATGTTCACATTTATATTTCACCTCTTCATTTTTATTTTGTAAATTCAAACTTGAAGTTTGTTCATGTTCATTGTATATTTCACTCAACCCATCATCGGTAATGCATCCAGCATTTCTATTTGTTTCCAATACCATACATTTATTGGTATCTTCATATTCTTCTTGGCCTAAACATGCTGTTCCGCAGTTTAGGTCTGACGACAACACTGGCAATTCCTCTGGCATAAAATCATTGTCGTCATGTAAATTTTCTTTATTGCATTGACCTACAAAGTGAATAACAAATAGTGGTGATTATTAACATTAGTGGTTTACGCACATTTTGGTTTTGCAAATCTACTCTGGAGGTCACAAAAGTCTTCTTAATTGAAAAAGGACTTGGGATACAAAATCCACCAATCAAATGACAGGGATTTACTTAGGTGCGCTATAATGTACAATACCAAATAAACTCACTTTTTTCAACCTCAATTTTGTAATTTTCATGCTCCGGCATACTGCAAATTCTTGATTTTGCAAGCTCTGATACTGTGGGCAACAAAAAATTATTAAAATAATTAATTTATAATGAAAATGATAAGTTCGATTCTTGTTGATAACCATTTCCAAGAATCCTGAGGTAACTACAATGGTGTTCATGTCGTGCACAGTTTGAGCAGTGGCGGACCATCAAGGCAAGCAAGGCATGCAGTGCATACCCTGGCTAAAAAAAGTAAGAAAATATAGTAGTACAGTTTCTGCGTTTGATTTAGCATTTCTTAGCCACAATCTTCTATATAAACCTTAATTTTTCGAGTGGATTGCTGTAGTTTATTGGAAAAGCAAAGTTTTTCAATGTTTGGCCTACTTTGGTATCAAGGATAAGTTACATTCGGGCCTATCACATCATACTCTCAGCTGCTTAAAATTTCCGCATGGCTGGTTTTCAATATCAATCAATCACGCATTCAGTGAGGCAATGGAAGTCAAGAGCATACCCTACAACACTTAAATTTGCTATTGTGACAACCATGTGGTGGCGTCAGAATATCCAATTTAACACTGGAATGGAAGCAGTGCTTCCAAGAGTATTTGCGCATGCTCTTCAACACGCAAATCAGGACCTTCACTGCCGGTCGGGTATTTTATAAATATGCCTGAATCTCAATGATTAAAGTTTAAATAAATTTGCATGCATATAACCGGTATAGAAGAAACTTTGAATTATTATTATTTGAATTGAAATATGTTAAAATAGAATAGGAATTATTTTGAAAAGAAGATACTACAACCATGCCAGTATTAAAAATAACATACATTTGTATTTTGGCTATAGCGCAATCTGATCCTGTATAGTAGTAGTAGGCTTACAAATTTTTCCTACTAGCAGGCCCAAACATCAGTTGCGTAGGGGTCTTGAAATGGAAGGGAGCTGATGTGGTGGGAAGGTAAAGTGGGGATCGGTGATTAGGTGAGGGGGCTAACTCGCAAAATAA